AAAACAAAGATGAAAAACCTAAGTACAGTAGGTAGAGGAAAAACAAACCAAAAAAAGAAGGGAAAAAACCCCCAAGCAACAAAAATCCCCCTCAAACAAACGGCGAAGCGGAGACAGCAGGGCTCTGGTACCTCCAAGGCGCGGGCAGAGGGACGGGGCCAAGTCCTCCTCGGCCTCCGCAAGGTCTTCGGTTGAGTTCTCAGAGTCGATTGATTCACGGGGGAAAAGCAACCATGCCCCCCAAAGAGCCCGGCCCCCCCCACCGCTGTCCCCCGCCGCGCGCCGGCGTCCCGTGCCCCCTGGCGCTGGCGGGCGGAGGTGGCTGTCCGATTGTCTTTCTGCTGGAGTCCGTGGGGTGGAAGGTGGGTGGGGTGAGGAGGGAAGACACGGCCTGCTCCGAAAATCACAGCCATGTCGATCGTAGCACGAGTTTGTATTTTTATTATTATTTAAAAAAAAAAAAAAAAAGCAAAAAAACTCCGGGTTTCCTCTCGCTTCCTTTGCTCTTCTTTGATTTTTTAAAATTTTTTTTATTTATTTTTAATTTTTAAAATTTTTTTTTCCTCTTTTTTTTTAGAAAACAAACAAAGAGTTCTCGGTCTCCTTTAAATACAGAACTTGAAAAGTGTTCCAGAAAAAGTGCTGGCTAAATTAGCTCTAGAAGAGAAGGACAGAAAAGGCCAGGGTGAGAAGGGGCCCAGCGGGCGCTAACATGTGGTCTGCGCCGCAACGACCACCGGTTCCCACGTGCCAGGGTCCCACTGACCCACGGAGACTTGGAGGGAGCCGGTCCCTGCCTCGGAGGATCAGGGATCACTGGCATGAAGCTCTCTCCCCCCCGCTGGGGTGCATGGGAAGCCTTGTGATCAGAGCTGCGTCACGGGGCCTTCGCGTGACCAGGCGGGTGACACGAAAAGCTCCCACTTTTGCTGTACAGATGTCTTCACCGCCTTCTGCACCTGGGAGAAGGACAAGCTCCCCCGATCCTGCCCGCTCGCATGCCCGGAGCGGACCCTGCATGCCTCCCCCAGGCCAGGAGCCCACGGCAGAGCTGAGAACTGAACCCAGCTGGGCAGGGAGCCTCAACCCCAGTTCCCCTGCGCCTGCGGGGACCTGTCCCATTAGAAGATGCAGGTCTGACGTTGCCCAACCTAGAAGCAGCTGCACAAGACCCCAGAGCTAGCAACGGCCCGTGAGACTGGTGTCCTTCCCAACAGCCCGGGGGCTGGGATTTCTCACGGTTGATACCCCCACCGCAGATAGGCTTGGAGCTGCCCCAAAGAGCTGATGCGCCCAGGGGCAGGGCAAGAGGGGACCAGCCTGGCTCCGACCCCTGCGCTCAGACGTGAGGCTGGAAACAGCAGTGACAGCTGCCAGCATGGGCACAGCTACCCACCTCCCTGGGCCTGCCCTGAGCCCCGGGTCTCCCATGCCGCCCGCGGCACCTACCCTGTAACAAAACCTCGTTGTCCGGTTGGCACTTCAGATGACACTACAAGGAGGTGACCGTAAAAGTGTCCTCGGGGTGCTGCTCGACCATAGGCCCCAGAAACCCGCTCTTCTGGGCGGAGGCCATGCCTGGGTGGCCCTGGGGCGGAAAGCTGGGGTACCTGTAGTTGTCCTGCAGCTGCAGCATAGAGTCTCTTGGGACTGGGGAGATATTCAAGTCATTCATCAAGGGGCAGGCGTAGGCCCCTCGGTGGTGGGCCCTGGCCATCTCGAGGGTCTCCTTCTCGCCCTTGGAGGCGGCGGCGGTGCTGGAGCTGGTCAGGTGGGGGTTGAGGCAGGAGGGGTCCGTTCTCCCCATGAAGTCCACCAGCATGCTGGCCCCTGTCTTGTTGTCGTAGGGCGGGCTGCGGGTGCTGGAGTTGGGAGAGTACCAGTAGCTGGGATTTTTGCAGCTGGGGGAATCATAGTGGGGCTGAGGCATGGGTAGGTCCCGGCAAGCCATGTGCGCGGCGGCATGAGGCAGGCCGCTGCCCGCCATGCCGTGCTTGAGGGAGTCGCAGGCCGGCAGCTTGCGGAGGTCACCCGGCCGCAGGTCGTCCTTGAAGGCCAGGGTCGGGGAGCAGTTGGGCGAGAAGGCTTTCTGCAAGCTGGCGTCGAATACCGTCTGCGGGGCCGGGGCCGCCAGCTGGTGCGGCAGGGTGGGGAAGTGTTTGCTCTCCAGGTCCGTCTGGCCGAGGCCAGGCGAGTCGCTCTGGAAGCCTTGCACAAAGGTCCCGTCGGACGGGGTGGAGGGGTTCATGGAGTAGGGCCCGGCAAAGTCGCACGGGTCTCTCTCGCTGACGCTGAAGCCCCGGGACTGGGAGGGGAGGGGGGACATGCTGCTGTCGCCGCTGTAGTAGTCCAGCCCCAGGTCCGTGCTGTCCTGGAAGAGCGGGTTCACCGCCTGGGATTTGGAGGGGAACTTGGCCTTCCCTGTCCCCCTCTCCTTCTTGGAGGCGCAGGCCCCTCGGGACCCGCGGGGCTGCCGGGGTCCCGTGTTCCTCTTGGAGGGGTACACGGAGGAGGAGGAGGAAGAGGAGGAGAAGTTCAGGTGAGAGGTGTCGAACATGTCCACTTTCTTCCGCCTCCCCCGGCCGGGCTTGGAGCTGCTCTGGAACAGGACGCTCTGGTTCCAGTTGTAACCCGGGGCCGACGAGGCCTCGTTCCAGTCCATCATGAGCTTCTCCAGGCTGGACAGGCTGGACTGGCCCTCGCTGGACGAGGCCTCGCTGTTGGCCCGCCGGTAGCCGGCCGGCTGGTTGAACTGGGTGCTGTCGGAGGAGGACTCGGAAAAGGTCTCCGAGACCGTCTGCTGCTTGGCCTTCTGGGGCGTGTAGTTGGAGATGTCCAGGATGACGTTGGGCTCGTTGATGTGGCAGTCGAAGCCCGGGTTGTAGAGCTGGCTGAAGGCCTCGGCGTTCCAGTCCAGCGCGCCGTAGCCCTGCCGGAAGTTCCACTGGGACGCGCCGGGGAACTGCCGGCAGTTCTCGGGCGACGGCTGGAAGGAGATGGAGCCTTTGGGCACCATGTAGCCGCCGGGGGACACGGTGCTGGCCCGGCTGTCGCACCGCAGCGGCGTGTGCGCGGAGCTGGAGAACTGGCCCCCCTCGGAGCTGTTGAAGAAGGCGGCTTTGTTGAGGGGCAGGTTGGGCCCCGCCGTCTGCTGGGTGTAGCCGGCGCTGTGGGCGCTGCTGGGGGAGGACGGCAGGCTGCTGCCGCTGCCGTAGGCGAAGCTGCAGTCCTTGTTGTTGGGGCAGTCCTGGGTGGCGGCGTATGGCTTGGCCGGCTGGAACACGCTGGAGGGCGTCACGCTCTGCCCGGAGCCGAAGCTGCCGTACTGCGCGTAGCTGGGTGCCGCGCCGGCGGCGGGGTGCGCGGTGGGCGACCGCGAGACAGTGGAGGGCGGCACCAGCTTCTGGAAGGCGTCGGCACCGCGGCACTCGGAGGCGGCCTGAGACACCGCGTAGGCGGCCGCTCGCCCGTGGGAGAAAGCCGGGCGGCTCTGCATCACCGAGTGGAAGGGCGCCTCCGTGGTGGGGGCGGCCGCTACCTTGCCGCCGCGGCCTGCGTAGGATGCCAGCCCGCGCTGGCTGGGCATGGTGTTGGGGGGCGCGGTGTAGGCCGCCGAGGACTTGCGGGACTCTGAGCGCGAGGCTGACAGGGCGAAGTCCAGCAGGTCCGAGGAGTCGTCCGAGTCCAGCAGGGAGCGGAAGTAGCCGGTGAAGAGGTTGTGCCGCTCCTGGCTGACCTCAGCCTGGGAGGATGTCGTGCTCCCGCCGTAGAAGCCGGCCCGGCTGGAGGAGCCGGACTCCAGCGCCGAGGAGGCGAAAGCCCTGGGCTCTGCGCCCTGGAAGCTGCAGTTGCGGCTGGCCTGGCTGGCAGGGTGGCCGTGGTGAGGGGCCCAGGGGCTGCCCTTGTCCCCGGCCCACTCGGAGGTGCTGTCGCTGAAGCTCTGCCCGGGGTTCTGCTCCGGGAAGAGTGCCCCGTTCTTGCGGGAGCGCCTCTTGCGCTTGGGCTTGCCCACGGGGTCAGGCTCGGGCCGGCCCCTCTTGCGGGGGTGGACGACGTCGGCGTGCAGGGCCGCGGCCGGCTTCTTCTTCTTCCCGATTCCCTCGAAGAAGTCGCTGAAGGAGCAGCGGGAGGTGCGGGCACCGTGGCCCCCTCCTCGCCCGCCGCACCCACCCCCTTTGCCCCCGCGCCGGCGGAAGCCCTGCACCCGGTGCAGGAACTGGGAGATGCTCTGGGTGTCGGGTGCCTGGTGGATGGACTCGGGCTCGCTGGGGGTCCAGCAGCGTGGTGGGGAGCAGCGCCCAGCACACTGGCTCTGCCGGTTCAGGAAGGCCAGCTTGGCCAGGACGTCCGAGTAGTCGGCCTTGCTGTCGTTGGTGTCTGCGATGTAGGAGGGCTGTGGCGAGGCCAGCTTCTGCTTCCTCCTCCTCCTCTTCTTCACCTCTGGCGCAGGCTCCTTGGGCTTGCCCTGGCCCAGCATCAGGTTCTTGGGTGGCCGGCCCCTCTTGCGCTTCAGGATGATAGGCATCTCGCCTGGCGGGAAGACCACCACCACGTTGCGCCCGTTATTCTTCATCTTCAGCAGTGGTGTCGGCTCTAACGAGCTGCTGGCCGCCATCTCCTTGCCCTCCAGGTTCAAGTTGCTGCTGAGCGACGATACCTTGTAGGTGGTCTTGTTCCTCCGCCCCAGGGACACAGGGATCTTGGCCATCTTCACCACCATCTTGCGCACCCCGCGGCACTTGCCCTTCTTGGAGGGCAGAGGTGCCTTCTGGCTGTCGTCTGGCTCCGGCACGGTGGGGACGGGGGCCGCGGGCAGCGGGGGCAGGCTGGGCTCAGCCAGCCCGGCCGCCACCTCCACCGGCACGGCCAGGGGCAGCACACGGGTCTCAGCAGAGATGTCCAGGCGCCGCCCCCGCCCAGCCCGCCGGCGGCGACAGAGGATCTTTGGTTTGTCTGTTCTGCGCAGCGCGTACTTGCGGTGGTCGTCCCCGCAGCGCCCCGCACCCCGCCCCGAGCAGCCGCCCCGCCGGCCCACCGCGCCCAGGGGGCACCTCCCGAGGTGGGGCGGGAAGGCGGGTGAGCCCAGGGGCTCGGCCG